AGGGAATGATGCATCACATATTAGAAAGGCAACTTTAGAATTTCATCAAAACAAATATTGTCATGCATTGTACAGTGATACTCGACAACATGGCACCTTGCATGCAAGGCTAATTTCATTAATAAATGACATCCACAACAATACAGTATTGTCAAGACGCCATATTTCATTTCATAATTAAGTGCCTATATATTCATTGTACTTGCAGACACATGAAATATTCATTAAGTGTTTTTGGGGGACGCACTTTTGGACATGAACTACGTTGAACACAACAAATGAAGTTATATGGTTTTCCTTTTTCTCCCTAAAAAAATAAAATAACGCAGTTTCAAATTTTATCAAATATTTTAAATCCTGCAACAAAATTTACGTTCAAAGCTTAACATTCATTGAATAATGCTTTCAAATCCGTGGATTAAATGTTGATTTGGATCAACAAAATCTGTCTGAAAAGGAGAAAATGTGTCCAAGGTAAACGCAATGAACATTTCTCCGTTCCACAGTATGTGGCGCTTTTCACTGGTATGTGAAATTGCCAGAAAACATGGGAGTTGCAGGTTTCGACCTGCCGTGCGCAATGACAAGAAGCAAAACTTTTTTCTTCTCGGAATTATATATAGGTAGCTTTTGTGAATATTTCAAACATTCTTGTCTCCATAACTAGTTATTACACATGTACATGTATGCGACCAGGAAAGTTTTTAAATACGATTTGTAACATTGTTTGTCTTTCAAAAATTGTTAATCAAAATCATAACATATTCCGAGGAAATTCAATGACGACGAATTGCAATACAACACCAATAAAAACAGGTTACATTAAAAAAACTTGACCTATTTGGTCGAGGTGGCGACTCTCCCACTTTAGGCATGAAGCGAACTAAAAAACCATTTGGTACAAAGCCAAGTAGTGGGTTTGATACATTTGGTGACCAAAATAATAATCACAGAGTTTTTGTTATCCTTTGAAAAATACCGACAAATTTTGTTTTCTGGTAACTAAAAAATGTCATCTTTTATTGGTGTGTATTCTGGAACCAAATGATGACCCTTCACCTTTGCTTGATGCCTAAATAAGAATTTCGTAATCGCAATTTTCACTGGTATTTTATTATACTCCCCAATTCTTGATTAAATTTTTTAGTGAAACAATAAGTTCTATTTATAAAATGTAACTTATTTTTTACACAACGACACAACTTTGGCATTTACACAAGTAGGCCCTAGCAATATAAATTAAAAAAGCAAATATGGTACAGTAGATTCAAGCATAATTTTGCTTGTCTGTTGATACATTGACCTCAGACACTGCCAATCTATCGTCTGATATTACAGGCTCCATGTGGTGTCCATCGATCAATCACAATGTAATGTTTCAAATAATCACCAGTGTATGTATAAGTATTTCGTCTAAATAATGTAAGCACGGCAGACAGGTTGTACAAATGTAGCTGTGATTTATTAAACCCAGCTGACTTGTCAATAATCATCTAGGCTGCATTCCTGATTGATTCTAAATGTATAAGGGCGACATTGTACGCTGTACAAAAGGTGACGACACGATAGACACTGGGATTAGTACCATTATTCAAGCATTCACCTTTCATGACAGAGCATTTCACAGTTGTGGTATGCGATGCAGAGTGAGTTGAATGA